TGAAATGACTTTTTAACTCAAGATTTTGGGACAGTTTGACCAGAATATTGAAATGTATCCATTTAAAAACAAGTTTGATTAATTAACCTTCCCTGTATGTACAAAATTATAATATATCTAAGTGAATCAAAAATAAAAGCAAAACAAGTCAACAACTAGAAAAACTCCCTCCCAACTATTAATGAAACAATGTTTTACTGGAAAACAAAAACAAAACAAATATATTTGCCCGAATTCTTGAGCTTGTGTTCCAAAAACACACCTTAAAATAATATCACAGATTGAATTGACAGCAGGTACCAGTCACATACAAGATGCCTGGAATGTCTGGTATAGTCACATTTCTTTGAATTTCAAGCTTCACCTCACTTCTTCTACCTTATCGATAAAAGTGTGCTGATCGCTCAATATTTCTGTTCATTAAAACATGTGATGTACCGGGTGTACCACTAAGAAAGGACGCCGGCTGTATCTCGGAAACTATTTGCCGCACAGGTTTCGGAAAAAATATTCATGATAAAAGTGGCCAAGAAAAATCTCGGGAAATTATTTTCAAGTTTCCAGGACAGCCGCTAGAGGGCGTAATTGCATTGGCCAACTTAAAAAACGGGTTTTTATGAAAATTTGATATATCAAGACATATCAGAAACACTTTTTCCATGTTCTCGAGTAGATTTTCAATCATTTCGATCAAAAAATAGCGCTATAGCTCTTTAAATAAAAGAGGGAGGGAAGGATCAATAGTACTCTGGAAAAACTCTTATTACTACAGTTTGGTGTAACGGAATTAAGCGATCTTGGTCTCATTATGAAGGGTTTCTTCAGATCTTCCCGATGAATCACGAATCAAGTCGATTTAAATTCCGTGGTGGCCGCTAGATGGCATCGTTTGAAAAAGCAGCCAATTTGCCATTTTTTTTTCGAGAATTTCAAATGGAACCATATATTTTTCCTGCTATGATATGAAAGTGAAGTGAACGAGAAGAAAAATGGTGAAAACCGCAAATTGATACCTCTTGAAGAACCGGAGAAATACTCAGAATAATATTAAAATTCAAACTGTTAGCATGTCAAATGCCTCCTCATTCATTATTGGCATTTTGACAAATAAGCAATCCACAGTGAAAACTTTCAATGGAACTTCAATTATATTTTGTCATTTCTTTCATTCAAAGCCAACTTGCCTTTTCTCATTCCTGAGCCTATACTCACTATTTACATTTCAATTAGCTATGTCATTACTAAGTGTCTCCTTCACTATTGTGAGATATAACAGCAGTTTGTGAAACCAAAATAAATGAATTATTGAAATCGTAATTCCATAGATACAGGATATTTCTGATGACGATTATTGAAGTTAGATTCCTGTGGTGAATATTTTCATAATATTATTTCGAGTATTTCACCGGTTCCTCAAGAGACATCAATTCGCGGTTTTCACCATTTTTCTTCTTGATTGCTCTACTTTCATATTAAAGTAGAATGAATATATGGTTCCATTTGAAATTTTCGAAAAAAAATGGAAAATTGTCTGATTTTTCAAACGATGCCATCTAGCGGCCACCACAGATTTTAAATCGACTCGATTCGTGATTCATCTGGAAGAACCAAAAAAAACCCTTCATAATGAGACCAAGACCGTTGAATTCCGTTACACCAAACTGTAGTAATGAGAGTTTTTTAAAAGTACTATTCATCTTTCCCTCCCTCTTTCATTTATAGAGCAAGCGCAATTTTTTGATAAAAATGATTGGAAATCAACTCGAGAACATGAAAAAAGTGTTTTTGATATGTCTTGATATATCAAATTTTCATAAAACCCCTTTTTTAAACTGGCCAATGCAATTACGCCTTCTAGGGGCTGTCCTGGAAACTTGAAAATAATTTCCAGAGATTTCTCTTGTCCACTTTCATCATTCATATTTTTTTTCGAAACCTGTGGTGCGGCAAATAGTTTCCGAGATACAGCCGGCGTCCTTTCTTAGTGGTACACCCGGTACAATATTTGATAATAGACAGTAACTATCATTTTTGTGCATAGGGCACATACCGAGTTACACTGACTCATGGTATACCCCCTTTTCTCCTTTGTTTTTCTAGCTATATTTCTGAAATTTGGAACATCGAATATGATCATCAGAGGGCACTTTCTCACATTTTAGGATTTTTCTTTCATTTTCTGGTTTTCCTGGAAATGATATCAACTTTCGATTTTCAAATAGAACACCCTGTATTTTATTTCCATAATCGGTTAGAGATTATTGTAACGAATTCAACAATAGCGGGTTTGATTGGGTTATTTCAAACGATTACGAAGATATTCGCGTTCGAAATTTCCATAAGCTCAATGAGTGTGACAGAGAAAGAAGTTTCGATATTGCGCCGTCAAACCCATTGAGCTCATGGAAACTGCGAACGTGAATATCTGCGTAATCGTTTGAAGAAAACCCAATCAAACCTGGTATTGTTGAATTCGTTATAATACTCTCTAACCGAATATCGAATAAAATACAGGGCGTTCCATTTGAAAATCGAAAGTTGATGTCATTTCCAGGAAAACGGGAAGATGAAAAAAAAATCCTAAAATGTGAGAAATTACCCTCTAGTGAGCATATCATGTTCTCCAAATTTCGGAAATATAGCTACAATACCAAAGGATGTGACCAGTGACCTCAACACTCTTCCAGGCACCTTAACTACGCTTTAAATCCGCATCAGTAGGTATTGGGCTGGACTGGGGGCCCACACTCCTTCTTTTTGAGCATCACATAGGGATATCACAGAGGAGAACATGGAACATCATTTTTTGCACGCTTTTCCCCATTTTTAACGATGATGACACCCGTAACCTACAAATGGTTGAAGACAACATTTCACATTTGTTGTTGATTTTTTTTATTATTCACTTTCCACGGATGTAATCTCAACTTTTGATTCTCAAAAATATTTTTCAATTTGGAAATGATTAGATTCATTCTGAAGGTAACTAGATATCCAGCCTACCGTGTTCACTGGCTCACAAATCTCTAGGGATGTGTTCATGAACTTACTCTTGTGAGTAGAGTGAAAGTATGGTCCCATGATCAGAAATATATCAATGGAGGTTACTCAGAGCAGCCGTTCAAAAACTGTTATGTGAAGGAGTGAAGGTATTCAAAATAACGAACGTCAAGTGTGATGAAACTCCGAGTTCTCAGGTTTCATTTCATGAGGATAAATAGATAGATAATGCATTATTAAATTTCATTATATGGAATTTCAGAAACGAACTTTATTTGAATACTGATATTTTGTCAGCAAATTCATCTTTCTTTCTTTCTAATAAATACCATATATAGTTTAATGAGTTGAACAGATCATCAAACGAATGTCGGGCCGCGCTGCTGCACTCTTTGAACTTTCAAAGGGACCGATATTGTACATCTCCACTCTAATCAAACACAAGATAAGCATAGCTTACTCTATGTTTTATGTACAAACGATTCTGAATGCATACTCACTGCTAGCAATGAATCATTTTTGTGATGTTTTTCAAACTAGGTACCTCTTGAAAATGTTACAAATTTTTTTGGATATTCGTTTTATTTTCAATGACTTTTGAGCCACTTAACAGTTTTCAGTTTTTCATTGATGCGATTCATATAACCAGCAATAATAATATGCAGAGGCTATTTTACAATCAGAATGACTTATTTTCAATGTATTTTGTCAAAAAATCTGTGTTTTGCTTCTAATTAAGTTTTGAGTTTGGTAGAAGGAACCATGAGAACATGCATAACATCCAATTTGCGCGCAATGAAAATTGGTTAAGTTTTTGGAAAAATGCAAACTGTACGGCTCTTATAATTTAGTTTTTTTTGTTGGTCCTATTTCTATCATTTTTTTCTATGAACCAAATTCAAAAAATTGATTTGTTGATGTGCTACGGAGGGGGAGAGGGATGTGATTACCGCCTTTATCCCTCCTGTAGGACCGCCCTTTGACTGCTAGACCTTTTCCAGTTGTATTTCGGAAGTCAAATCAATTTCAGATGTCGTCAATTGTATTTCAGAATAGTCAATTGAATTTCAGAAAGGTCATTTATATTTCAGAACAATATCAATTGAAATTCAAATGACACTTTCTGAAATTCAATTGACTTTTCTGAAATACAATTGATACTTACTGAAAAACATGTGACTATTCTAAAATACAATTTACGCTTTCTGGAATTGAATTTACGCTTCCTGAAATACAACTGAAGTCAGAAATCCTCACTCAAAGTAAGTTTATGATCGCACTCTAAGCTTTCAAGGATGTTCTTCCCTTTATTCGTCACTCTGATTATTTTTTCTACTAGCGTGCGGTCCACTTTTCCGCACTAATTTCAGTGTTGAAAGAGTCACTTTTCCGCACTTTTGCGGAACTTTCAACACTAAAATGCGTGCAAAAAAGAGGAATTTGGGTTTTTTCCACACGCTTGTCGAAAAAATGGTGTATCTCACGGGTGCTCAAAGTGGCTTCCGCACGCGATTGCTGGATGAAGAATTTCTTCCACCCATCCAACACATCTAGGATTCGTTGCTCAAATAAGAATAGTTGGAGGGGGCCGTCTAAACCGACCCATTACCTACTCGTACGATGCTCTACGCACCCTTTCTCATACACAAATGCGAATGCTCCGAGAAGAATAAAATCACAATTCCGTACCGATTTCGACGTTGACGCGCTCGTGTCCCAAGGAATTTGGGTTTTATCCACACGCTAGTCGAAAAAAATGGTGTACCGTGTACCTCACGAGTGCTCAAAGTGACTTTTCCGCACGCGATTGCTAGACGAAGAAGTTCTTCCACCCATCCAACACATGGATATGCTATCTAGGATGCGATGCTCAAACATAAGAATAGTTGGTGGAGGGGGGCGTCTAAGTCGACCCATTACCTACTCGTACGATGCTCTACGCAACCATTCTCATACACGAATGCGAATGCCCCGAGAAGAATAAAATCACAATTCCGTACCGATTTCGACGTCGACGCGCTCGTGCCCCAGCCGCGGCAACGCCTTGACCAATCCGGGCGCCACGCGTTCGCCGGCCGGCTGGTAGCGCAGATGCGGCACCACCAGGGGGCGCTGCACGCGGTCCGCGCCGGCGAACAGGTTGCTGAAAAAGCGCCAGATGCCCTTGTTCGAGGGCTTGTCGAAGGGCGGGTCGGACTTGGAGGCGCGCAGCAGCTCGGTCCAGCGGACGGCCTCTTGCAGCTCCATGAAGCGTTCCTGCAAGGGCATTGGGAAACAATCAAGCTCCGTGCGAAAATTTTGAAAATGAATGATCGTAATAGCTTTACAAAAATTCGGTAAAAACATAATATGTTCACGCATATTCGGGTCGATTCTGTTCGAATCTTGATATAACATTGCTAAGAAAACAATTCTGTTACGATCATAATACATACAGTCTGTATAATATTTCTTTGCGTGTGATGACATTCAAAACTACGGGAAAACATCCTAACTCTTGGCATAGTTCGATTGTTTTCCCGTAGTTTTGAATGTCATCGCAACGTCATCTAAATACTTTGGCGACCGCGAATACTTCTCATCTATCGTTTTCTTTTGTTAACTTTTCTTCTTTCATTATATCTTCGGTCTCCTAGTAATTTCTATTTGCCCTTCCAACTAAATATTTTTGCTAGAATGCACGTTCACGTGTGGAATTAATAAATACCGTACCATAACTTTCTGCTAAATCATGCTTACTCTTCACTTAAATTTTGTCGTTGGAAAATAATATCACTATTTTTGTATCATGCGATCCTGGCAATTACAAATCGGCGTATTCCCATACAAACATGTTCTCAACTGATTGATCTTGTACATGTCAATAATTAGTATCATTACTCACCTTGTATTGATTACGTTCCATAAGTACTCTGGCCATCTCCACTCTGGTAAACCTCTTTCTCTGCGCCATCGGTACATCGGATTCCTCGACGGCGTCTTGCCGCGCCTCGTTCGCCTCCTTATAGAAATTATGATAATGATAAATAATAAACTATTATTTTCCATTTGATAGTTACAGAAACCATAAATGAATAGTCAAGAGAACAAAACAGTAAAATATTATAGCATCCTTAAGTAGTAACATGATGATGCCAAGAACTCATTGAGTTGGCTTTTGAAACAATTCATCTTCTCGATAGTCATTACAGCATTCTCTATTGAAATGCTTTAGTGCTAGAAAATGTGCATTCTCTCTGATTTTGAGTTTTGCAAAAGGTACATAATGATTATTTTTCTGCCTAGTATGATAATTATGTGGTCACTATTGAAATTGAGCTTTTCCTTATTCCTAAATCCATACACATTACAAATATACACGGTGTTTTATTTACTAACTGAAATTATTTCAACTATAGAATCCTGAGCTCAAGATATGAAAATTTGATCTGGCTGAATCACCTAGATAAAATGTATCTCCTGTCTTAATAACAGGGTGTTTTATATGAATATTCAGAAACTATTTGTGCCTAGTATTTTGATACTAATTGATGCACCATTGTCATATTTGGCGGCAAATGTAGATACTATACACCAGTGGCGGCTCCTCAGAGGAGGCAACGGAGGCTGAGCCTCCTCAGAGATTTTCCTTAAACTAATATTATCTATACTTTCTCATTGAAAGGACACCAAAATACATGGATTTTGATTTTATTTCCTGTTTTTAGTTGTATATTTTTGAATTGGCAACAGTGCTTGCCCACGCATCACACGTTGAAGTCTGCAAATCACGCGTAAAATATTCAACTTGGCAACATCTATAGGAGGCTAGACTCCTTCACATTTCGCAACCTACGCGCGCAATGCAAATGCCCGAATAGCACGTGTTTGTCGTGTCGCTTCGCGAATTGCGGACAAACGCGAGTGCATTGTTAATGTTTATGTTAGGTTAATGGTTAGAGGCTCTATAAATTTCTGAAAAATTAGTGTTTTAAACGATTGCGATTAAGTGGAATACTTTTTGGTGAACCCATTCAGTGCTTTGTTTTATGAAGAAAAATTGATTGTGAAAAACAAACGTCCGACACCGGAATTAAAAAATCTGATTGTAACAGGTACCAAACAAAATCGTTCGTTCAATTCTGATAATTATAAAAAGTATATCTGGTTGACGGGATCTGAGGTAAGGAATAAGCTATTTTCTTGGTACTGCGTATTATTTTCAACCGGTAAGTCATCATGTTGAGGCCGGTTAGGATATAATGATTTGAAAAATTTGCCTCGCGGATTGGATAGACACTGCAAATCACAGGAACACATCTCTTCAAGTATCAAGTTCATGTTAACTGGTAAACAGAATATCATTAAAGCTATTGATTTGGGTGAGTAGAGAGTTGTTTTTCACATTAAATCTCATATCATTCAGCCTCCTCTGTCATGAAAGTCACGAGCCGCCACTGCTATACACCCTACGAAATTATGTAAAATAAACATTTCTGGCTACTACAAGAGGCGTACGATAAGGTCAAGTGACCTTCACAGATTCTGCGACACTGGCGGAATAGCCATTTTATCTGAATATTCGATTCTTAAATACTTGTTACGTAAACATGGTACTCTTCCTTTAAGTCATTATTATTCCAGATATTCGAGTCGATTCTGTTCAGATCTTGTCATAACATTGTGATGATCATATATACAAATATGGCTATACAATTCTGTAATCTTTTTGGAATTCAACTGGAAGATTGAATTATAAGTTGAAGTGATAGCAATATTGTTGAAAAATGGAAAATTTTTGAGCTGACAACACTGTTTTAAACTCGTTTGTTGAGTGTTACGTGCCGTTATCGTCATTATTTTATGAAGAAGAAGAGTTTATGAATATCTAACCTCCCTCTGTCTGGCACGGATTCCATTGGTAAAACTAGTGCGCACTCAGTGCTACACTTCAAACAGAAGGATAGATATCCACTGAGAGTAAACCGCTATGGGAAATTGTTTGCATTTGGTGAATTTGATTGCATGCGTGCAAGTGGGGCAAGTAATCAATCATGTCCCGAAATAAAAAAACAACCAAAATCCAGATGAAAATATTCGTATTTTTTTTGGAGAAGAACTCGATTCATATAACCGGAAAAACTCACGTTGCTGACTTATTCAAGCGAAATAGCTTGGTAAGCTCTCCGTCAGGAACTCAAATGGTTTGCTAGTATCTCTGATGATATAACCAAAACTCAAGTCTCATTAGTGATTCTCGATAAATTGAAACTTCAATAATTCATTATCAGTCCACTCGTCCATTAGTTTCAAAGTACTAGGCACAAATACTTTTTGAATTTTCGAATGAAACATCCTGTAACTCAGACAGGAGACACAATTTATCTAGATGATTTGGGTTAAATCTTCATATTTTGAGCTCAGGATTTTATAGCTGAAATATTTCTAACTAGTAATGAAACACCCTATATAATTACCCGTGAGAGTTAAAATGTTGTATTTTTTTAACATGGTCGTTCTAGATGACAACCTAGTTAGGTAGTTAGTAGGCGACAGCTATAATTTTCAAGGATTCAAATCCAAAGTTCAACACATCCACAAAGACGAGGTTATAAGTTGATGACAACTGTCAGAATATGGGTTGCGTGCAAGAACTGTCAGATGACCGACACTGGAGGCAAAACATTGAAACACAACGTTACTTTTCTTATTTGTTTACAAGTGATCGAAATAGTTTTCCACAATTATTTTGGCATATGAATCGTATTTTTCCGCTATTCATCAATTCGCTCATGCCATCACATTGTGCTGTTGTAAAATGCACAAACACTGCAGCGGAAGATGAAGGAATCCGGATGGTACATTATGATTTAAAAGTAAGTACCTACTATAGTCACTCAAATATAGTTTTCATTTTTGAAATTTGTTTATTTCTCTGATTTCTCATCGGAATTCCTTCTGCAATAGGAGCTAATAGAAATATACCTGAAATTTCTAGAATAATGCAAGAAGGTTGGATTCATGCAATCAATCAGGAGCACTGGTCTGACATGCTGACGATCGTGTGTGTTGTAGACATTTTCAATCTATTAGCAGTATTAGCTTGTATTGCAGAAGTGGCAGAAGGCAGAAGAAATTTAAATAAGGAATGACAACATTTTATAATAATAACTATGTGAGATTACTATTTACCTGAAAAATCATATTCCTTAGTTTCTTGCTGCATTTTTTGTGCATTGTACAACAGCACAATGCGGAGGCATGCTCGAATTAATGAATAGCGCGAAAAACACGATTCGCATGCCAAAATATTGTGAAAAACTATTTCAATCCTTTGATTCCTCTATAATCAAATAAAAAAGTGAGGTTGTGTTTCAATAATTTACAGAAGAATGAGGTTGTGTTTAAATATTTTGCCTCCAGGGTCGGTCATCGTGCACGCGACCTATAATTTTACAATTACGACATCTCATGAAAGTCTTCTTTTTTGTCGCCTTTGTATCGAATATCACGTCAATGATGGAAATCACGTCTGTGGTTGAGTACAGATTGGGGAAAAACAGAAGAAGAGAATGTCAACCTAATATTGCCTATTTTGACATAAACAAAGTCGGTTCACGAGAAGTTCTCCTGGACACTATTGAACATACATAGCATGATTCCCTTTTGTGCTACCAACACGTCGGTCACTGCTACTGAATTACCCCACAAACAATGTCCATATCTCGAGAGTCGACTTGAACAAAGTATAATTGAAGACCTCGGTGCAAGAACCAGGCAACTCCATGTTATGCCGAAATTGGGATATTGTATTCAACACATAGAATTTTTTCTTGCTCATCTTTTGATGCAAGAATCAAGCGAATCCAACAATGTCCTATTAAGTTAACACGGGAAAGGATTCACCTGATGAGCCATTGAGGTGCAAGAGCACCGAAATATAAGCCATGACGGTGCTAGAATCGGGCAACTCCAGGAGTTACCCGATTTCAGCACCGAAATGTACGAGTGTAGTGAGAGATGTCGGAGTGAGGTTATTAGCGGCAAGCCTTCCCGCGTCTTCCACCGTGTGTGGCGTGATTAGTTTGATTGGTTTGATCATTTGTTTCAAGCAATACAATGTAATGTCGTCGGAAAGTGAGAGTGAGCCCTTTCCAGATTCGGGGAGTGAACATGTTCCAAAAACATAACTGTTGACGAAGAGGACCCAAATTCCGGCAATGTTAACGAAGATCAAGATGCAGGAAACGTCAGCGATTCTTCCTATGTTCAAAATACTATTTGTTCACAATATTTTCCGTTTTATATCCGATGAGAAAGTAAAATTATTACACAAGTTTGACTATATTATCAGAATTTTGTCTTTTTGGGACAAACAACAGGCCACTCCATTTTTTCAAAATTCTTTTTCAGCTTATACAATGTAAATGGATTATTATCTAAGTAAATACAGCTTATCTTACGTGACTTTGAAGGATTTATACCATTTAGCATAATTTTCTTCAAAACTCTCAAAAATATTAAGTTTATTCCATTCCCCAACATTTAAAAAAATTGGAGTTGCCCGATTCTTGCACCAAGGTCTTCAATTTCAAAAGTTGTTGTTTATTCAAGAGTAGATAGTTTTGAGATAAGATTCGAGCACTTACCTTCACCTTCCGTAGTTCGTCCTCCAGATCGCCGATCCGCTCCTTCAGTTTGGTCTTCGACATGTTCAACGACAGGATCTCCTCTCGCAGCATGTCGATTTCGCCGGTGAGCTCGTCCACTTTCACTATCAGATCGTCCTTGACCACGTTCAGAGCGTTCCTGCAAAATGTCAGCGAGCAAGGAATGAATAGTATATACTTCGCGGTAGTCAAGGTCATCATCTTAATAAATTGACATTCATCATACAGGACGTGGAAAGAAATTCTGAATTGAGAAAAACCTATATATATGAACACAAAAAAATGGATATATATATGAAGAAATACATTGAGAATTCGTATTCTCCATGTGATGAAAATATCAATTCTTTCACGGTTTATTCAACAGAAAACAACTACTTTCCTGGCTATATGCCACGACGAATATTGAATTACATCGTGTGTGTTCAATGTAACCTGCACTGGCAATAATTCTTATCGCCCTTTTCTGTAATTTGAAAACTTTACACAAATGAACAGAGATTTTCCATAGCATTATGCCATGATTTATGTGTGTATGCAAGAAAAATGAGTAATGATACCGCACAGTATTGTCGCAGACTTGATTCTCCGTGTTGCACAACCGAAATATTATACTGGGTAATTTTTGAAAAAACTGCTTAATATGGGATGACCATGATAGGTTTTCACTCTCCTCGCCCTTTATTTCATTAAAGACCAGAATTTGGGTTTTGCTATCCTTTAATTAAAGGTTGTTAGTACTAAACTAATGCGGTGGATGTGGTAAAGTAGGGGTGTAACTCACTTTGTTGCCAGCAGCTCGTTATTTTCCATGATGAGGTTCTCAACTTCTTTGCCCATTCCTATAAAGGAGAAGTTAACTTTGATATAAAAGCGTTCGGATGAAAGGAAGTTGGAAATATTTGAAGTCTATAAACAGCAACCCATACAGCTGCCCTCATAATACCAAATGCAGGGTGATCTATATAAGAATGCGTAGAATTATTCAGTTGTTTATCAACACCGAATATTATTAAATTGAAGATTTCAAGACAAGAATTAAAATATCTTTTACTTTTAATTACAATCTGTCGCCCATATCTTGGTACAACCACATCTTACCCCTCCAGTTTAACAATCTGGGGATTGACAGCTAAGCTGGTGGGGGAAGTAAGTAAATTCTTATTTCTATGTAGAATGTGGAAATATTTTCATTCGCCTTTGAACCATTAAACACTAATAGGTATGTCATGTCATCGAGAGCTAGCGTTTTTGCGAAGTGATTATTTCGATTATTGAAACAAATATTATTTGTGATGATTTTAAATAACGTATGACTGTCAGTATCACAATAAAACATTTATGAGAAGTGAAAGCTGCCATATCGACACTATTCACGACTCGATAACTGATAAACAAAGCATATTGAAATCATTGCATACTGCAGATCACAACAGCATGCAACCCCCCGCTTTTTGTCATTCGCTTTGTCGTGGATTGTTTGATGGCGTTGTCATAGATTCACTCAGATTCCTCTAAAGCACCCTTACATAGATCACCCAGTATACTACTAATATCATCAAAAGTGAATCATTCGTATACTAGTTCATTTTTATTTTTTGAGATCCATCAGTAATTTCACAATTATTTTTTTTATGATATGGAAAAAATAGAACAGAAATCTCGGTTACACTATTGATGTCAGTTTCCAATACAATATATTGTATATATTACCTTCCCAAATGTCTAAATTAAAAAAAAAAACAGCATCTAATGAGATTATATTTGAAGGTTTCCATACTTTCGATTCACTCTGCATGATAATGTAGGTGCAGTATCATTTTCTATACATGTAAGAAATACTTATACTTACCATAAAAGTTATCGTTGACTATCCAAAGCAGAATTAATGAAACAAAAAATTGTTAGTTTATGTATCATACAGCATTATTTGGCATGAGTGGGCATTAGCTTTCTTTTCATGTAGTAAACAGAAATAAATTAAGCTTAATTCAATCATGATAAATTTGTAGAGGTTGAAGTCTCGGTCACCATGTAGAAATAAGCATACATATATTCCAAATATTTGAGACATATTTATTGATTCTTAAAAGCTTTCATTTTTTTATTTATAATGGTTGAAACAAAAACTTCTGAAAATGCTTATGAAAACTCAAGTTATTTCAGCTATATTTGTATTATTTTAACGATTTCAAAATGCCATGCAAATTATCATCATTTCAGCTCCATCATGCATTTTCACAGTGGCTAATTATCTGTAGGTACAAAATTGTCCATTAATATGTCAATCTCAATGAATTACACTAATGTTTTGATTTATCCCTTCTTCAAAAATATAGAAATTCAGTAAACTAGATCAATTCTCTATGAATAAATAGCCACTGTCCATTCTAAATGTTCAAAATTGTTCATACCTGATGATGCATATTCCCCTGGGTGAACCCAACCACCTATAAAGAGAAACAAGTTATTTTGATCAGTCAATTAAAGCACTGTCATCATTTTTTCACAATGACATTATAGTTATGAAGAATAATCACCTGTAATATCACTAGCATCTTCATCGCCATCAAGATCCTAAAAATTACAATTTAATTGTATTGACATAAAACTCAACGAAAATATCTTACATGGTAACTCAATTCTTGATACAAAGTATTCCCACTTCTTTGTTCCTTTTTGGTATTCATCCTACTATTATTGTTTTGAGGTGTCTGTGGACTGACAGGTGACGTGACTACACTTTTATTTTCGAGGTGTGGAGAGTCGGTAGTTTGACCTCTTTCCACTTTCAATACACCATCCCTCATATTGTCAAATTCACTATGTAAACTGGAAGAGAATAAAATTATTTAGAAGTGGTATAATTTAATGCTATCTGTAACAGATTTTTTTCTTGAATGAAATTTTGAAAAACAAACAATTTAACCATATAAATTCAATAAACCTCTTGATTTGAAGAAGAATACGAGTTTAGAATGCTTTCTATCATTTCTATTGTCTCGAACCTTGAATATTCCTACTTCCTGGAATAGATTTCAAATATCCTAAAAATTCTGCTCTCAAGTTATACCTGCCTGCATTTCCACTACCAATATTAAAAAAAAACTGGGAAAACAGGATGTGTAATAGAATGTTTTCTAATTTTCGAATTAAACACCCTGTATTATTTATATCTGTGCCACCCTCAACAGAACTGAAAATAAAAGGAAGATAAGCTGATTGAAACCTTGATTCCTCAACCGATCTCTACTGCGATTAATGTAAATACTATCCAGATTGCTCCATTCCTCATTGTTTATGTAATATTTGAGAAGTCTTAATTAATATCGAGATTGACATGTTGACTAGTCTTTCAAAATAAGTATCTCAAGTGAACAATGTGTTCTTTGAACCTTGTGACTATGATTCGGCGTATTTGCCCAATATATGCCATTTTACAGTCATTACAATTCATAGGATGACTGGTCTCGAAAATACGTTTCTGTAGTGAGCAATATAATCTTTAAATCTTGTGACTATGCTTCGACATATTTACCCAATATATTTCATGTTTCTGTCATTAAAATAATGCCTTACCTATCATTAGTATTAAACTCATTTTGAGTATTAACTATTAATAAAGTTGAAAATATAAATATGTAATTCAAGATTTTTAGCCTAGTATAGCTAGGCAGAAAATATCTTTCAACTTTGAAGCTTGTGAACCTTTTATATAACGGTTTGTCGGTTTGACGGGCCTCATTCTTGCACGTCACAATCCTCCATATTTTTTAAAGTGTAAAAATTATTTAAAAAATGAACTAGGCCCTGTGAACTTGAAATTTCATCATGATGTTATTAAGATATTGTAGAATTAAGAAACAATTGACAGGCGTTTGATAAGCAGAAAAGTAGGTGCCAGGTGGGTCCAAAATTGGGGGAAATATAATTTGCTGACCAAAATTAAAGTTTTCTGAGCAAACGTTTTGATCCATATTTGATGATAAAATTATATGAATGGATACATTGTAGCTACTGGTGGAATAATTGCAATTCACCTCCTCAGAAGGGTAGTTTCCTCTAGCTGTTTTTCAAAAACCCTTGCTGACCAAGCATTGCTGGTTTGAAGTTTCGCTCCAATTTACATATTTGAAGATCTCATATGGATATTCAGTTGCCATAAAGGCAATAATTTCCATCCAACCCTCAAGAGGGGTAGTTTATTCTGCTTGTATTTTTGAAATCCTTGCTGACCGAGCATTTCGGCATCGAATTTTTGTTCACACAATGGTTATAAAAAACGTAGATTTTTCATGAGGTGAGAGTTTTCTGAATTTTCCGAAAAACTGAAAAACTTTGAAAGAACTAAAGAAGCCATCGAGAAGGGGACATTTTCAGCTTTCCAATGTTGTGCATTGATCACCGATATGCCCCTTCATTATTTATCAGTTCTCGATAGACTCGACCATTTTCTAGAACTCCAGAGATAATAAAAAAAACAAGAAAAACACGTTATTTATAAAAATACACAAGAATTATTCATCGATTCTTTTGCAATACATTTATCGCCTATCAAAGCCCCATTATCCAAAAGGATTCGGTGAAACTACTCTTGATTTAAAAATATGATTGGATTGATAAGGGGAGTCAAATACCGAGCAAAAAAAAACAGATATTTCAATATTCCAGAAACATAAGAAATAGGGAAAAGTGATACGATATTATACCTACAGGTCCCTCCTTTCAAATGAACTGTGAATCATGAAAAGAGATTGCTTATTACCCAAGTTATGGGACAATTTGTCCGCCCGCTCATGCCTATATTCGCAGAGCGCGCTTTCCAAAACGCTGCGCAGCAGCTCGAAATTCAGGCTACGCTTGGGCCTGTTTATTTCGGAAACGGATAAACTTGTGAGAAAAATGATGCAAGCAGATTCCTTGATTTTTCTCTTCTTGTTGTTATCTTCTTTTCCAATGATTTTAGAATTATTCCATTAATACAATATAAAGAAAAGACACATCGACAAATCGAAACTAGCTGAACTTATCCTTACTGAAGTTGGACAACATATGGCAGAGTCGAATAATATTAAAATCATTGGAAAAGAAGATAGCAACCAGAAGAGAAAAATCAAGGAATCTGCTTGCATTCTTCTGAACAGAGACAATAGCATTGCTTCCTGTTCAGTTGATATAGGTAGAACATGTTATTCACTACTGAAATCTGAGAATGAAAATGGTAAATTCCAGATTGATTAACGAAAACATTATGTAACTCATTTGATTGCCAACATCACCAATTGTCACTGAGAACTGAAAAATACGAATTTGCAATACAAAAAATCCATTTTTTATGTTGAAACGGGAGCAGATTCGTTCCCGAAACGTCCTAAGATAAGTAAACATGTGATATTTTTCTATATAACTTTATTATTTCTCTTCTCCAAACCTTTTTCAATACAAATTGTCTCTGACAAGCTAGTGAATTTTTTTTTCAGGCTCTCTGATAGGAAAATTCTTCAAACGCAGTGACATTTTTGGGCGAATCATCTGATTTGTCCTTACTACAGTATTTGAAATGGTATAGTTATTCAAATAGTAGATTGTTTTATTAGGATCAAAAGTGACACTTCGTTTGACAATCGAGTTTTGCATTTGCGAGGCATAGGGTTTAGCGAAGCCGAGCGAGAGCAAAATGTGCGAGTCAAACAAAGTCACTTTTGATCTGACTGAAACATGCTATTTTTTCTGCAACCGAAACAATTAACTCAAATAAATATGTGAAGTAATCACCAATGCCGTGCCATATGTATGCAATGCAACAAATCAAAATCAATGCAAAATCCGTGTGATGAGAATATTCTACATGCATTAACAGCAGGTTTATTAAATTTTCAAGGATTTTCGAATTGTAGTTTCAATATAAATACAACCAAAGAGTGACATATTTGTATATGGACCAGGTGCTCTAATGGAAAATACCGCGCCAGTGTCAGGTATAGAAACAAGACGTGGAAAATGTTAGGTTAGTGGGCATATCAACAATAATAATAGCGATTATTTATTCCTCTCCATACTACACTATGTTTGACTTGATAATCAAATGAAGGTAAACAATATCGTTGTTTGAGACAAAAAACTATTGCTTGCTGTGATTATTCAAAAACAAGTTATCCATCCGGAGAATAACGAATGAAATACATATCGAGCAAGTATGTGAATCTTGAAGGCTTTCCTGATCAAAAAAAAAAACTCAACTATACCCTTCATTATATACACTAGTGTGAATACTCAAAGATTGTACTAAGATGTATTTATATCTCCAGCATGGGTATGAAATGCCAAATCTATCGAAATCGGAAACAAATCAGGTATGCGTCCCAACCCAAATAACCAACCATTACAATGTTGTTTATTCTTGATGACCTCTAGAACATCCTTTTTAGTTTCTAGGAGGTAAAGTTCAACTTTAGCTCCTAGGAACTAAATATGTTGCCTAACAACAAACCTATGTTTGTGTCAGTAATGGAAACTTCAATTCAAGAGCTAATTTTGGTATTAAAATGGACCACTTTTGTGTCGGTTGCAGAAAAAATAAATTGTGATGAAGCGGATTATAAGTGAATCACAAAAAAAAGAGGATACCTCGGTGACGAATGCGCACTACTGATTGGCGACGAAGGAACACTCTCCACAGTCTCAGCATTGGCCAGCGACTCGAACCCGAACGACACCGGTCCCGAGCTGCGACCCACGTTGATCCTGTTCGAGGGCAAGCGCCCCGCCTCGCTGCGCTCGTTCGCCAACTGCTGGCCGGAGTGCAGCAGCTTGGTGCGCTCCATGTAGTCGACGTGCGTCTTGAACAGCTCCGTATACCGCTCGTGCAGCTTGGCGTACTCCTTTTTCAGTTCCGTTTCGCGCTCCTCCAGTCGGCTAGCGTGCTCCAGCGAGTTCTTGTGCTTGAGCTCGAGCATGCGCACGATGCTCTCGAGGGCCTCGAGGCGCGTGGAGAGTTCCTTCCGTTCGCCTGAAACAGGAATCGAACGTGGTTGCACTTTTTCGAAACTACACCTTTTTCAATTGTAATTCAAAAAGTGTAACTTGTAATTCAGATTATTGAAATGTAAATCAGAAAGTGTAAATTGTTATTCAGAATAATTAATTGTAATTCAGAAAGCGTCAATTGTAATTCAGATTAGTCAATTGTAATACAGAATGCATAACATGTAATTCAGATTAGTGAAATGTAATTCAGAAAGTGTAACTTGTAATTCAGAATAGTCAATTGTAATTCATAAAGCGTAATTTGTAATTCAGAAAGTATCACTTGTAATTCATAAATACTATGGACCTAAATAAACGATTGGTTCATTGTATGGTGAACATCAATATTTTATATTTATCGACCAACGGGCATATCTTGAAATGCCAGCGCTGCCATGGTAGTGTGTTGTGCAGCCCTAGCACAATCAACTCTTTGGCCTGGTCAATATTCTGTTCTACATAGATAAACAAGTCGTTGTTCTCCAACACCCGGACCTCAAGGAGAATGGATGCATACCGAATGTTCCTAGTTTCTGATTCATAAGTGAGACTTTCTGAGTTACATTTCACCGAGCATTTCACTAATCTGAATTACATATAACGCTTTCTGAATTACAATTAACTAATCTGAATTTCAAGTAATACTTTCTGAATTACAATAAACTATTCTGAATTACAAGTGAAAAAGGTGTAGAGTGCCTCGAACATCTCATTGTACGCTCTTTAAAGAGTGTGGACACCCTTGTCATATACAGGGTGTTTGGTGCATCGTGTGCCAAATTGAAATGGTCGAATGAAGGGGTCATCTGCTATCCTTCAAGACTAGTCAACACCTTTCATGCCCTGTGGATTATTTTTAATCGTCTTTTTATCTGTTTATCAAAAAATACCCGAATTCCACCTTCAAATTCAAATTTTGAAAAAAGTATAATTTGTAGACTCTGGATTTTAATTTTATTCAGATTTGTATTCTGTTAGAGAACTTTTAAATACAAAACTAGTGACATAAGTCATCTAGTTTTTCTTTAATTTACTCGCAAAGTTTCGAAATATGTGGAACTCAAATCAAAGCTGTGACTTTACATGACTACATGGATGGATTTATTAATCATTTATGGTCAATGTAACAAGAATGTCAGTTGAACATCCAGAGAGTTTAATGTAAAGTATGCTCATCCACCTCGAATGAATTTGAGAAAATAATAAACATACATTATATGAAAATATATGAGAAAACTTTCAGTAAAGTGTAAAGAACAATCTCTCATATGTTGAGACACATTTTTTCCAATCGTCAAGTTATGAATCCACACCATTTTTCTATCGATCACTTCCTTGTTTACCAACAGAGTTTCAAATACAAATTTGGATTGTCCTAATTTTGGAAAGGTACCTAAGAAAACTGTATTCGGGATTTTTTTGCTAAAGATGAACAATGGGGTACACATCAATAATGATTCATGTTTTTAAACGTTTATAAAAGTTCTCGAACAAAATTATAGACAATGCAAACACAACTACTTCTTATACAAAGCACACGGAAATTGATAAACGAAGTTGATTGCTTACCATACGTTAGTTATATTAGACAACAGTAGAGGGCGTACTCCTTAGCAATATTCGCCTATAGATGATGAGACAGGGGAACAGATACAAATAGACAGAGACAAAGACATAGAAACAAAGACAGACAGAGGAACAGAGAGAGGCATAAAGATGGGGAGACAAAGAAACAGAGAGACAGAGGAAGTGATATGAAGAGTATGAAGACAAAGAGATGGGGACAAAGAGACGGAAAGAGATACGGAAACGGAGATAGAGAGACATAGAAACAGAGAGATAAGAACAGAGAGGCAGGCACAGGGACATGGAGTTAGAAATAGAGAGGTAAACAGACAGAAATACGGCGACAGACAAAGAAACAGAAACAGCGAGCCAGAGAAAAATAGAGAGACAGAAAGACAAATAGACAGAGAAACAGAGACAAAGATGCAGAGAGACAGACGCAGGCAGAGAGACGGAAACAGAGTTAGAGAGACATAGAAACAGATAGATAATAATAGAAAGACAGATACATAGAGACAGAAACAGAGAGGTAAACAGACATAAATATGATGATATAGAGACAGAGACGGGGACAGAGAAACAGTAACAGAGAGCCATAGAAAAAAAATAGAAGAAAAAGAGACATAGAAGCAGAGAAATAGCGAGGAAGAAAGACAAATATACAGAGATAGACAGAGAATCAGAGACAGGCAAGGAGACAGAGACAATGAGACAGAAACGAAGAGACGGGGTTAAAGATAAAATAACAGAGATACGGGAAGATAGAGAAAGAGCGAAACCAGACACAAGACAGAGACAGATATTGAAACAAGTTGGAGACAATGGAAATTAAGCTTTGCTAAGCTCCACCAGGATAAAAAAAACTCAATTTATCATTATTATTATCATCATTATCAGATAAACAGAGGCAAAGAGACGCTGGCAGATAGACGGAAACTGAGGAAGAGGCATAAACACAGAGACACAGAAACACAGAATCAGAAAGGTAAAACATAAAAAAATATGGTGATAGAGTGACAGAGATGGGGACGAAGGAACAGTAACAGAGTCAGAGACAAAACGAAAAAAAAGGGACATAGAAGCAGAGAAATAGAGAGAAAGAAAGACAAAGATACAGAGATAGACAGAGAACCGTAGACAGGCAAAGAAAAAGGGAGGCAGAGAGACAGTGAAAATGAGGCAGAGACGAAGAGACGGAGATACAGATACGATGACAGATATACAGGAAGATAGAGCGAAAACAGAGACAATGGGTGTGACGCGCAATATCGAAACTTCATTTTCTGTCAGACTCAAGGAGCAAATGGAAATAACTTGATCAAACCCGGTATTGTTGAATTCGTTAGACAAATCTCTAACCGATTATGGAACAAAATATAGGGTGTTCCGTTTGAAAATCTACAGTTGATGTCATTTCCAGGAAAACCGAGATTAAAAAAATCCTATAATGTGAGGAAGTGTCCTCTAGTGAGCATATTTGATGTTCCAAATTTCAGAAATATAGCTAGAAAAACAAAGGAGCAAATAAGAGTATACCATGAGCCTATGTCACCCGTTATTGCCCCTGAAAGTAACTATCAATTCTTTCTGGTAGGTACTTAAGAAAGAGAAAGAGTATTGTCATTGGAATTTAATTAGAAGAACATACTGGAATGGATGCAATCAATAGCAAATTGGATTCCAACATACCATTTTTACTTTCCTTACATATTTTTTTTATCTTGCATTTGGCAATGGTTCAAGATTAGATAAATTGCTGGTATTGTAGAGTAGCAATCCAGTAACAATCTTCTATTTTGCAATTAACGTTTATTTTAGTAGTTTCAGAATGTCTAAATGTATTATCACAGTATTGAGTTGAATTTGATCGTTAAAAATAATTCACTGAAGTTAAAGGAAAAACATAGTTTAATTGCACATTGGGTTGAATAAAACATGCTCACTGATGAGAATAAATACCATTTTGATACCGCGTTCGATTCTCGGTAAATACAGGGTGTCCCAAAATTAGCCTGCCAAACTTCACCAGCGGCTTTTACGACCAAAAATAGAAAGAAAACTTTCAATGAACATGAGTCGAGGAATGTCACCTAACTTCACACTGAGTGACAATGAGGAAAGTTTCCTTAGGGAGACCAAGTTGTAGGTGCTAGATCGGTATAAGATGCAATGGTAACAAGTATGCACGAATATATGGCAATTTTGAAGTCTCTTTCATATTACCTCGTATAAGCCTCATGAGGACTTTCTGTATTTATCTTCATTAGTATGGTAACATTTAATCGAATCTGTGGCAATTCTGCAGTCTCTTTCATATAACCTTGTATAAACCTCATGAAAAGTCACTATATTTATTCATTTCACAATTTTCGACAATGACCGACATTATATTCCTTTTTCGGAACATAGCGATTCTCATCACGTTCAAACATATTCTTCTTCATCCCAGGACAATCTGGACATATTTTTTATCGCACCTTGTATATCCATCGTCAAGAATAAATATGAATTTCATACTTCTGAAACTACAATCGTAATTTTTTCAATCTTATAATTTATCTTAACGAAAATGCATCATTTTGATTAAAAATGCGTACTTTCATTATATTATGACCTTCGATCCAAGAAATTACAAAACCATTTCGAAGTCAGACACCAGACATCCTCATGACGAAGTAACACTCCATTATTCCACTGGTAAAACAGAGAAAATTATGTTTCATCTACTGAAGACTACGTTATTCTCCATTCCATCATTCAGTATTTCTTGTATCACTTTATTTAGACTTTTTCAGAATTTTCTGTGTTCGAACACGATCACAATCATATCTGACGACTATTCATACAACGTTGATTCTTTGGGAAAGAATTTCAACTTTCAATTTCATTCAATTGATCGTCAAAAAAATGCATCATTCTGAATGAATATTCATAACACGATTATCAAAGCTTAGGCCAATCAAATAATTATATTTTGAGGAATTAATTTCCAGCAAGCTGGAAATCATTTAATTACCTTCATTCGGTCCCAAATGCGTGTAATCTAAGTTTGCACCATTCCAGGAGTTAAGCTTAACTTTTGATAGCCAAAAAACCGACACATTTTTGCACTTCTTTTATTTTTTTGCTTATAGCGGCAAAATGGTTCATCGGTCGAAAAATGTCATTCTATTCAATAATATAGAAGGCAAAATTCTGCGTCGAATGACATCTGAAAACATCAAATTCCGTTTAGTAGTATAGCCGAAATCGAATGTTAAAAAAGAAGAAAATTTCGTAGTTCGGTGCAAGCTTACATTTTGCGGCTTTCCAAGACGACATATCGTGAAAACAGATACTCCTATTGAAAAAACCCATAAAATAAAAGTTGTAGAGAATAAAATTTTACGTTATATAGATAGATGTCCAAATGTTTAA